CAAAACTTAAAAAAAAAAGAACAGAAGCAAAATAAATTGACGTTGGTACATATGCACAGGCTACAATCCTGCCTGGCTGTGATATGTCCTTGGCGTTTTCCTGAAGAATGATTTTTTTTCTAGTGTGGCTTTATTATTTTTCATTGTTCCATAGAACTGCTGAAGTCTTTGTTTTCAAATTTTATAGCTAATAAATTTAAATTAGCACCTTGAATTAACTCTTCTTTTAGACTAGAATGTATTTATTATTGATTGATTGATTATTTAGTTAGAGTGCATAAGCGAGCTGGAGAGGGGAGAGAGAATCCCAAGCAGGCTTTGCACTGTCAGAGCCTGACATGGGACTCGATCTCACCAATTGTGAGATCATGACTTGAGCAGAAACCAAGAGCTGAATGCTTAAGGGACTGAACCACCCAGGCGCCCCAGACTAGAATGTATTCAATTAAGAAAACGTCCTCGCTGCAAGTGCTGAGGTATCAACCTGCGAAGCTCTGAGCAAATTCTGCCAGGCAGAGGCTCCATTCACGTCTGACTCTTTACATGCAAAATGATGTAACTATTTTAGCCCAGGTATGTTCACAGGTGATGTCTTTATGCCCTAGTTCAGAGAGGCCTTCTTTCTTTTTTTTATACATTTATTTATTTTTGAGAGACAGAGTGAGACAGAGCATGAATGGGGTATGGGCAGAGAGAGAAAGAGACACAGAATCCGAAGACAGGCTCCAGGCTCTGAGCTGTCAGCACAGAGCCCGATGCGGGTCTCAAACCCATGAACTGTGAGATCATGACCTGAGCCGAAGTCGGACGCTTAACTGACTGAGCCACCCAGGCGCCCCCAGAGTGGCTTTCTTCAACAAATATTTTTACCAGATTAAACTCTAAAAATAAGTTGTAGTTACTTATACTTTTTGAACACTTTGTCAGACTTAGAAGCTGCAGATCCTTGGTTTTCTCAATTTCGTCTCATTTCTGTACAGAATGTGAATTTACCCAAGTGAAAAGATTCTTCCCACAAACTGAGAGATTCCAAAACTCGCAACAGAGTTTTAACATTAAATCTTGTGTGCCACCGAGCTCTCATCCTTTATTCATTTCTTCTCTTTTGCAATAAATATCCTTTATTTGCTGCATAATACCTTCATTTTCAAGGTAATTATAGTCTGCTAAAAGTGCAAAAGCAGGTATTTTTGGAGCTCCATTCTTTGAGTAGCTTGATTAAAGATTTCCAATTAATCTGGAACAAAATTCAAAAAAAATTTAGAGTTCCGCTTTAACAAACAGCTTAGTAACATTTCCGGGCATTTAGGCTCAAGGTCCCCTAAAAGTGATTGATGATGGGGCGGCTAAGAAAGGAAATATGTGCTGGGGGGTATTTTAAATTCACCATCAACCTCATTACAAAAAGCTTGTAGTTCACTAAGTCTGTGTGTCCATCTTTAAATTTTCTAAACTTTGCCAACTCGAACCTCCATTTTAATTGGTAGAATATTAATTGGGGCACCTGGGTGGCTCAGTTGGTTAAGCGTCGGACTTCAGCTCAGGTCAGGATCTCACGGTTTGTGGGTTCGAGCCCCGCGTCGGGCTCTGTGCTGACAGCTGGGAGCCTGGAGCCTGCTTCAGATTCTGTGTCTCCCTCTGTCTCTGCCCCTCCGCCGCTCATGCTCGGTCTCTCTGTCTCCCTCTCAAAAATAAACATTAAAAAAGAATTAATTGGTAGAATACCGAAACTTATTCATGTGCAGCTGCAAGCTGTGTGTGCACTGTGGCCTCTTCAAAGCTCATTTCTGTTTCATGGCTCTTATTTTTGTAAGAACGTTGCTGTTACCATGACACCAGGCCCCAGCAAAATTTATATTTGTATGATCATCACAAAAATATAACTCTAGTTCCAACGTAAATAATTTCAAGTGAATTTAGAGTAGCAGTCCCCAGAAGTCACTTGTTCCCCTCGGCCAGACTGAACTTCCAGAAATTTTGCTGTGAGCCCATGAATTGGATCATGATTGGAACGGACTGACTTCCTCCAGTGGAAGAATCAGAAGAGATCAATATCAAGCGGGCACCATTTCCCCTGTGTGTGGAGTTCTTATGAAGCTGACCCACAAGCAGCCGTCATTTCCACTGTTGTATGTGCAGGAGATAAACTGGAACCGAAAATGAGCTGAACTGATTTACAGAATAGTAGCTTGATCTAAGTGGAAAATCCATGCTTCGCAGAGCAACCTGTAACAGCACCCTTCTGCAGCTATGCGGGTGAAGTCTGTGTGTCTTAGGGCAGATCTTTTAAATTTACTAACTTCTGGGGCACTTGGGTGGCTCAGTCATTTGAGCATCCCACTTCGGCTCAGGTCATGATCTCACTGGGCTCATGGGTTTGAGCCCAGCGTCGGGTTCTGTGCTGACAGCTCAGAGCCTGCAGCCTGCTTCAGATTCTGTGTCTTCCCCTCTCTCTCTCTCTCGTCCCTTCCCCACTCACCCTCTGTCTGTCTCTCTTTCAGAAATAAAATACACAGTAAAAAAATTAAAACTACTAACTTCTGAAGTAGCAGCTTTGTGTCACAAGTTTTCTTGTGATCGGTGAAATCGCCACAGAGCCCCCGTAGTGCTGTAAATACGAACAGTCTGTGCGACTTGCTCGTTTGTTTCCAACTTCCTTGAGAAACAGGAGGTCAGTACTTAAATTGTCCTTAAACTTTCGTCTTTTAGCTCATCAAGGCCAGAAAGGCATATTGCAAAACTTTCAAGTGTGTACAGGGTAAGTAAGAATTACAAAGAGAAAAATAATTAAATAAAAAGATTTCCAAATAACCAAATAAATATTTAGTTGCGATTTTTACAGCACAAGAGTTGACCACACAGGAGAGTCCCGACTGTTGCGTATGCTCTGGGTCAGAGTTCTCTATGCCGCAGATAGGCCCACGGCCACCCAGCCCACAATCCCCCGTGTGTCCCACTGACCTGCCCGCTCGTGGCCAAGCAGCGGATCGAGAGGATCTGTCTACACTCTCCCTTGGTGGTTTATCCGGTCTTGGGTCACTGTGTCAGACATTGTCCCTGAATGCCAGGCTTGAATATCTGGTTGCTGGAAAGCCCCACTTGATGTCCGATAGACATCTCAACCTTGACATAGCCAAGAGTGAACTCCTGATCTCCCCCCAAAACCCTGTCCCACATCACTCTGCCCTTCCCATTTCAGCTGACGGCAACGTCACATTTCCGTGCTCAGGCCAAAAACCTTGGCATCGTCTAATCCTTCCTTTCTCACCACCTCTGTCCAACTGAAAATCATGGCAGCACTACCTTCAATCTAGAAGCTGATTCCATCTCAGCATCCCCACTTCCTACCACCCCCCTGCTGACACATTTATTCAGTATGTTTATTGTTGTCGGCTCTCTCTTCCCACGAGGCTAGCAGCCTCCTGAGGGGTCTTGGCTATTCTGATTCACTGCTCTGTCCCAAATACTTAGAACGGTGCCAGGTAAATAGCAGGTGCTCAATAAATACTTGTTCAGTAGACAAATGCGTGGAGGAACTGGGGGATTACACCTTGGTGTGAATAGCACGGTGTATGAGTTACAAACAGCAACAAAACTCGAAAGCCACGTCTTTCCCAGTTAACTATTTGGCAAACATTAAAGGGCACCCACTTTGTGCCAGCACTTTGAGGAAAGTCAAAGTCGTGCCCAGAGACACCAAGGGGTTGCCCAAGGTCACACAGCCAAATAGTCTCTTCCAAGACTGCTTCATAAGCTGCTTGCTGTGTGAGCGGGGATCGTGCGGGTCTCCCGAGTCAGCTGGACTGGCAGGTGCTCATAGGTGCTCACAAATCCTCTAGTACAGGATGTGATCCCTTCTTTCCGCGGGGTTCCAGAAGCAAGGTCCACTTGCTGCCCACCGTATCCGTCTCCCACGGAAACCCAGCGTGGGCACGTGGGAGGCAGGCCAGCTGTGTGGCTGGGACTGTGGCCTTTGGGGTCAGCACAGACTGAGGGCTCCCAGGACAGGCTGTTAACTTCCGAGCCCGGCTTCCTCATCTACGGAGAAGACAGCAGAATCGAGCAGACAGAGGCCCGGCCTCTGGAAGCCAGACCTCCGGGGGCTGTACCCTACTGTGCCCGCTGTGCGACTGCGGGAGAGTGGTCGGTCCCTCCGTGCCCCATTTTCTGAGCCCAGAGATGACACTGCCACTGCCCCACAGGGCTGCTGGGAAGACTTGATGAAAAAATACTTAAATGTGAAACTCTCAGAATGGGGCCTGACCTAGACATCATCTCATCAGTATCTGCTACTGTTTTACTGCTGGTAATCTGCAAGCCTGGCTGCTCGTTCTGGAAACCTCCCACCATTGTCCGCACCCCGGCCACCCCGTTGGTCTCGGACCCAACAAGGGACATCCCGGCCAGCTACACCTGTTGTTAGCACTTCTTGATTCTTTCTTAGGTCGTTGCCCACTGTCTCTATGTCTGCATCGCCTCAGGGAGCCCCTTCAGGCCGAGGACTGGGTCCTGTTCCCTGGCAAAGCGCTGGCACACAGTGGGTGCCCTTTAATGTTTGCCAAACAGTTAACAATGATAGTTGGGTCGTTGATGAGACCGGATGCTTCCTCTAGACCAGGCAACCTTCCCAAACTCTCCATAGACCCTGTCCCTGGTCTTCACCACTGTTACACAAGAGGGATGCGACTAGCTCTGCCTTTCGAAAAGGAAAAGAAAAGTTAACGGGTCTAAGTGGCTCACTCCAAGCGGCTGTGGTTGGAATTGGACTCGGCGCTCAAAGCCCTAGTCCTTTCCGGAGCGCCAGGGGTCGGCAAACTCCTCAAAGGGAGCAGGCGGCAGGCGTCCTCAGTTCTTCGAGCCACGCAGGACTCTGCGCTTGCGCACAAAAGCAGCCTGCGCCATATGTAAATGAGTGGGCGTGGCCGCAGCTGGCTGCCTCCTCCCCCCGCCCCCCGCCCCCCCGGGTCACGCCGCGTGCTGGTCGTTGCAGGTCACCGTGGATGGCGTCCCGGAGCCAGCTCCCCCCTGCTGACGTCACTTCCTGTGCCGAGTTTCCGGAAGCCTGGGGCCTGCTGCACAGGCTGCTGCCCGCGTTCATCGGCGCCGTGTGCGCGTGCGGCCTGCTGGGAAACCTGCTCGTGCTGGCCGTCTTCCTCGTCCCGCGGCGGCGGCTGAGCGTCGCCGAAGTCTACCTGTCCCACCTGGCCGCCTCCGACCTGCTGTTCGTGCTGGGCCTGCCCTTCTGGGCGGAGAACATCGCGCACCAGTTCAGCTGGCCTTTCGGGGCCCTCCTCTGCCGCGTCGTCAACGGCGTCATCAAGGCGCATCTGTTCACCAGCGTCTTCCTGGTGGTGGCCGTCAGCGGCGACCGCTACGACGCGCTGGTGCGCCCCGTGGCCAGCCGGCGGCGGCGGCGGCGGCGGCGGGCGCAGGCCGCCTGCCTGCTCGTCTGGGCGGCGGGGGCCGTCCTCAGCGTGCCCACCTTCCTCTTCCGCGCCGTGGAGGCCGTCCCGGAGCTGAACGGCACGCGCGCCTGCGTGCTGCGGCCCCCCCCCCCGCCCGGGGCCTGGCACCTCGCCTGGCACGTCGCCCGGGTGGTGGAGCTCAACGTGCTGGGCTTCCTGCTGCCGCTGCTGGCGATCCTCTTCTTCAACGGCCGCATCCTGGCCTCCCTGCGGGGGCGGCCGGGGGGCTCCCGGGGCCGCAGGGCCGCGGGGCCCCTCCTCGCGCTCGTGGCCGCCTTCCTGGTGTGCTGGACGCCCTTCCACTTCTTTGCCTTCCTGGACTTTCTGTTCCAGGCGCAGGCGGTCCGCGGCTGCTTCTGGGAGAGCTTCATAGACCTGGGCCTGCAGTACGCCAACTTCCTCGCCTTCCTCAACAGCTGCCTCAACCCGGTGATCTACGTGTTTGGGGGCCGGCTGTTCAAGGCCAGGGCGTGGGAGCTCTGTAAGCGGTGCGTCCCCGGGAGTCGGGGTCCCGGGTGCCCGGCCCATCGGAAACACGTCCTGCGACTTTTCTGGCGGAAGTAAGCCAGCGTGGCTTCCTTATCCGTGATCTCGGGCATCCTAAACCCTGCTGGGGTTTGCACATCGTAAACCCTGTCGGGGTTCGGGCTGGCTGCGACGCTGAGCTCCCCCCCCCACCGCCCCTCACCGAACCTCCCGGACCCAGTCCCCGGAAACTGTGGGTGTGTTTGTGGTACGAGGGCTTTGCAGACGTGAGTGAACCAAGGATCCTGAGACGGGAGGATTACAGGTGACTGGGGGGGGGGGGGGCAATGGAGTCACAGAGGTCCTTGTTAAAGGGGAGCGGTAGTGTCAGGGTCCGAGAAAGCCACGAGAGAGCAGAATCCGAGGCTGGAGGGTCGTGAGGAGCCCCGAGCCAGTGCTGGCGCCCGCTCGAGGCTGGAGACGGGAAGGAGACGGCTTCTGCCCTCAAGCTTCCAGAAGGCAGCAGCCCTGTAGACAGCCGGCTTCAGCCCAAGGAGAGGGACTTGAGATGTCTGGCCTCCGGATCGATAAGACAATAAAGTTGTGTTGTTGTAAGTCATCCAGTTTGTGGGAATGCAGTACAGCAGGCACAGGAAACTCATACAAGTTTCCGGTCAGGGTCTCTTGTTGCATTTCCACCTGCCCGCCCCAGATTTCCTCGGCTGACGGCTAGGCCTGCGGAGACGATCCGGCTAGGGGCCCTATCCCCGAAGGAACTGCAGAAATAAGTAGAGTATAAAACAAAACAAAACAAAAAAACCAAGGCGGCACCTGGGTGGCTCAGTTAAGCATCCGACTTCGGCTCAGGTCATGATCTCCCTGTACGGGAGTGCGAGCCCCACATCAGGCTCTGTGCTGACAGCTCGGAGCCTGGAGCCTGCTTCCGATTCTGTGTCTCCCTCTCTTGCTGCTCCTCCCCTGCTCACACTGTCTCCCTCTCTCTCTCTCCAAAATAAGTAAAAAAAAAAAAAACAAAGCAGGGTAACTGCCCCCACCATGGGAAAGGAGGTGCTCTGAGCACAGAGGAACAGGGCCCGGGATGGGTGGCTGGGTGGGGATGGGTCTGGAGGGCTTCCAGGAGGAGGAGACATATATGCTAAATCCAAAGAACAAGCAGTTGGCCAAACCAAATGGTAAGAAGGTGTGTTCCAGATAGAAGAAACCTGCTCCACCCAGAGGCAGGTAGGCTCATAGGAGGGAGAAGGATGAAGAAAGGTGAGGTACAAGGCGGTCACAGAGGAGGGGTCTGAGGCTTGAAGAAGACCTAGAAGTCAAGAGCAGCGAGGGAAGCGTGGAGGTGTTCCGGGGGTGCTAAGGGCCCGGCTGAAGCTAGAAGGCATTGAGCTCATGTTGTGTGAATTACTCGAGCAGCGATTTCAGGCCCCAAACAGGCAGACAGTGGGGGTTCCCCAGTGTTGGGGTTTTGCCGGATGGGTGGCCGTAGTTCAAGGGTGTTGGTGGTACTACCAGTCTGACTGGGAGAATGGCTGAATCAGGGAAGGAATGGACTTAGGAGGAGAGGGAGGCAGAGTGGATGCAGTTATAGAGCAGGGGGAATATCCAGGTGACAGAGCAAAAGAATAGGAAATTGTGGCCACAGATCTAGAGCATCTGCATGGAACATTCCATCTCGCTTGCCGCCATGGCATCGGGTGGCTGCAGTAGAGGGAAGGAGGAGGTCATTGGTGAGGGGGCAGGGGAGGAATGGAGCTGTGGGGGATGGGCTGCCCCTGGGTCCCTGCCGGTGGGTGCTGGGAGGGTCTGGGAAGGACGCAGCCAGTGGGCCAGGTGCCAGGGGGCTGGTCCTTCAGGGGCAGCCGCAAAGACTCAGAGGCATTCGAGGAATGGAAAGTAGGCCAGTGTCCCTGGAGCCTGGTGATGGGATCCAAGAAGCCAGCAGGTGCTAGGCCACTAGGCTCCCGTTGTAGATGACCCTCCCGCCAGCACTCCAGCCCCTGGAGCTTTCCTGGAGAGCAGGGACCGAGGTCAAGAAGCAAGACCCAGCCTGCATGTGGGTTTAATTTAGAGCACATGGTGTTTATTTATTTATTTTTTTTTTTTAATTTTTTTAATGTTTTATTTATTTCTAGGAGAGAGAGAGACAGTGTGAGCAGGGGAGGGCCAGAGAGAGAGGGAGTCACAGACTGAAACAGGCTCCAGGCTCTGAGCTGGCAGTCAGCACAGAGCCCGACGCGGGGCCCGAACCCACGAACCGCGAGATCATGACCTAAGCGAAAGTCGGACGCTTAACCGACTAAGCCACCCAGGCGCCCCGGTGTTTATTTATTTTTAAACATTTTTTCTTCTTTCTTCTTTTTTTAATGTTTATTTTTAAGAGAGAAAGAGAGAGCGTCTGAGTGTGCAAGTGTGAATGGGGGAGGGGCAAAAAGGAGGCAGAGGATCCGAAGCAGGCTCTGTGCTGACCGCAGAGAGCCCGACGCGGGGCTCGAACTCACCAACCGTGAGATCGCGACCTGAGCCGAAGTCAGATGTGCAACCGACTGAGCTACCCAAACGCCTCTAGATCACATGGTGCTTAAAAAAATATTTTTCAGTTGGGTGCCGGTATTTAAAATCTGGATTAAAGTCCACATCTCGGGACTCCCTTGAACATTTGGCACATCTAGCAACACGGGGTCTACATTCTTTCCAGGGCCGATGTTTACTAAGCCTCTACTCTGTGCCAGACTCTGGTGCAGGCGCTGCAAGCCCAGCAGGGGCCTCCTGGAGGTGACCTCGGGTTGCTCTGCCCCAAGACACCTGTTCTCTAGTCCTGCCACAGGGCACACCCCCCCCCCATCAGCTACAGCCCCTCCCACGGAGCAGAGGCTGGAGTCACCTGCCTAGTAGCCTCCAGCGCCTACGCAACACCCCAGCCCCCACGCAGGAATCCTGCGAGAAAGGTCCTGTACGAGATATCCCGTGAGGGGGATCAGGCCGCCATCGAGAGCTGGAAAGGAAAAGGACGCCCAGTCTCTCCTGGGCTCTGAGCGAACCGCCCCGAATATGTCCTCTGCGCTTCTTCCTCGGCCGTGCATTAAAGCCGTGGCTTATAAAAATGCTTTCTAAGGGCTGCATCGAGACAACCCCGCTATCTAGAAGGGGGGGTCGGCCTGTGACATTTGACCGGTGCTCAGATCAGAGGCCTGTATCCAGCAGCAGATGGTCAGCCCAGCCTCTGAGGAGCCAGGCACCTGCTTGATGGAACGCGTGTGACATTTCCCTGCAGGGGGAGAGACTGACCCCCTCGCCCCCATAGGAAGGGTTCTGTTGCCCTTTCATCAGGAAGGTCAAGCCATTCGTCTGCAGAGGGAGAAAGTCCTGCCTCGGCTAAAAGGATCAGTGCCTGGGAGAAATGAACACTTGGAATTCCCACAGATCTGGAGAGGGAAGAGCGAGCCCTGGTCTCCTAACGTCCCCGGCTCCGGCGCCCACGTGGGCTCCCGCTTTCTCTCTGAGAAGACAGGGGACTTCTTCCCTAATCCAGTTCCAGCTGTGGGCCTGTCAGGAAATCCACAGCCCCCCGCCTCCCTCCCCCGTTACACCCATCCCCCCATCTGTCATGGGGACGGAATAGCACGAAGCACCCCCAAATCCCAGTCTCGGGGGGGGGGGCTCCTGGGTGCTGCAGTGAGGACACAGGCAGGTTCTCGTCCTCTCGAGATGAGTCCCGAGCTCGATGAGGAGCAAGCAGGAAATCTTGTCCTACCTGTGAGAAAAGGCTTTAAATTAAATTAAAATGAGTGCCTGGCAACCAGGGGCCATGTGGATAAAATGTGACACATTTCTTGTGCTCTGACATTGGACTGTACTTCCACACGATGGTACCGTTTGGGGAAGCTGAGTACAGAACACAAAGGTCTCTCTGTGAATCTAATAAAAGGTTTAAAAAGGAAGATACCACCAAGCGGAACCCGTTTGCCTTACAGATGAGGATGCTGAGACCTCAGCGGTGGGCAGAGATTTTCCCAGGCTTACTCAGCGAGCTGGACTCCTGGGACAGGGTTCTGTCCAGACCCAAGGATGCCCGCTAGACTGTGACATCAGAGAACGGGCCTCAGTGCCAGGGATCCCACCATTGGAGCTGCCTTCATGGCGACAGACTCCCCGTACCTGGGGCTGGATTTGAGACATGAGCAGGAAGACAGGCTTACTTCTCAGGAGCTTCAGGAGACAGAAGAGCATTAGAAGGGTCAGCTGGGGCTCAGCAAGTACGAGAGGAAGATGCTTCAGGGCTTTCACTAACAGGGCGTTCAGTGGCTACTGAGATTGCTGCTGGCTCCTGGGCTATATTAATAGGAGTGTAGTATCTAAAATGTGGGAGGCGATACCCCCATTTACCTTAGCACTGGACAGCGTACATGAAGAGTATTGTGTTCAGCTTTTGGCTCATTCAGAAGAAAGGGATCAGACTGGTGAAGGGACTCAATATCGTAACCTTCATGACACAGCGAGAGCCTGAGAGGGCTTTCCCGAAGAAGCGAAGACCTGTGGAGAGCTTCTGATAGAAGCTGTCTCATGCGAGCAGGGGAGGCTGATAAAAAGAGAGGTCCTTTCTCGGTATGAGCTGTGTAATCCATAGACTCTGCCTGGGAGGAGTTCAAGAAACCAGGGGATAACAGAAGAGGTGACCCCAATCTGGGTCCTGAAGTTAAACAGGACAGTGAGGGTGCTGACCACACAGCCCTTGCCTCATGAGAGATGTCAGCCAGTGAGATCAGGGGCTGGAAGGATTATCGCAAAGGCCCCGAGGTCGGTGCGTTCCCTTTGCCCAGTGCCGACGCGGTGACAGGAGGGGTGGGCCATTCCTCATCCTCGGGCTCCTGCAAGAGGCATCTCTTCCGTCCAGTGACTGTCTAGTCGTCTCGTCCCTCTGGGAAGGGCGGACTGAACGTCTTCACGCAGGGGAGGCGAAGAGTGGCCTTCTCAGCTCCTGTGGCCAGTGCGAGGGGACTTGGATTTACTTCTCGGCAGAAGCAAATCTCTCTTCCTCTGCTGTAGCAACTCCCAAAGGCTTATGTCAACATGGTGGTGCCATTGAGATGTGGAGACCCATTGCCCAGACCCCTGAGTTACTGGGAGAACGGAGCCCCCAGCCCACCTGCACTAAACATGTGGTGTGAGTGTGAACTCAACCTTGGCGACTTTGAGCCACAGAGAGCTGGGGGGAAGGGGGTGTTTGTCACAGCAGCAGAATCCATCCCATCCTGACTGGCCCACCAGGCTTCACTGAGGAGGGATAGGTCCCCACACCCCAGCCTCTCGCCCATTCCTCACTCCTCTCCATGGAAGAAAAGTGACCTATCTGACCAGCTTCCTAACAAGAACTAAGCATGTAGAGTTTACTACCTTCCCTGATTCTTACTCTTTGGGAAGTGTCTGTCTGCACTCTCAGGCATGAGGTGACCTTGTGCGAGAGGCTCTGCCTGCGTGGGCGAGATTGCCAGCATTGCCTGGCACTTGGTGGGTAGGTTGGCTTGAATTAAGAAGCCATTTGGGGTGTCTGGGAGGTTCAGTCGGTTAAGTGTCTGACTTCGGCTCAGGTCATGATCTCACGGT